GAAGGAGAGCGAGTACAAACACTTAGCAATCAGTGATCGCTGAGTGTTTGTACATAATTGAGCACATGGTATGGTTACTATATCCTCGAAAATGAATGAATGGGAAGTGATCTACATCACTACCTGTTCATTCATGATTGTGGTTATGGTAAACATAATCTGCCCTTATGTCATGAATGAACAGAAACACTCAGTATAGAGGATTGCTGTTCATTTATGCCCCCAATATTTCCCAGAAGCCCTTAAAAGTAAAGTAAAAATATTTAATAAAAAATGAATAAAAATAAATATAAAAAAATTAAAAAGTTTATAAAAAAAATAATTGAAAAAATTGAAAAAATTAAAATAAAAAACATTTTCGGTTTCCACGTGACATTTTTTTTTTTCCGGCTTCATTTCGGTTTTGAAATGTTCATTTCGGTGCACCTCTATTTACTACCAGTGCTACTAACTGTGTACATTTTATTTATGACCACTTGTATCTTTGAAGATAATGTTTTATGTATTTTTACTTTCATACTTTACAAGCTTCCACTTGCGTGTTTATTATTGTTGCAAATAAAGGGATTTTTAGCCACTAGAGGGAGGTATTGGTGGCTCAGTGCAACTACTCTGTCTCTCTCTTAATAGCTGTTAAGATAAGATAGCCATACAGCTTAACTAACTCACAACATGCATCTAAAAAGGAGCCGTAAAACACAATCACTGTGTAGCAGAGAAGGAAGCAGAACCTGATTTTGCAATAAACAAATATAGCTGCCTTTATATAAATATAGGATTATAACAACAAGGGTTTTCAACAAGCATTGATTACAGTATTAAGAGCAACCTGATTACATGTATCTAAAAAGACAGCTTCCCCATGCTGCTTTTTAAACTGCTTAATGTATGGGTGTCTAGGCAAGCATGGTATTTTAATGTACTACTGTAAACTGAACTCCAAAAATTGACTCAATTTAAGCCTATTGCAATCCCCTGTACAGCAGCACTCAGACTGGCAGTGGAAGGAGCAGCACTGGAGGCTAATCAAATGCCCTGCTAACAAGGTACATGCTTGATAGAAGGAAAAAGTGTAGATACAACGTCATCAAGCTGTTGCTGCTCCTTTACTGCCCAATCATTACAAGTGGAGACTTGGAAGGTGACCAAGCTGTGTTGCCTAACTGCAGCTGAAAAAAATCACCAAGCTGTCTGTATGGTTGGGCTGTGTAAATCGCTGTGTAAATCTAAGGACTGGATGGGCAAAAAAAAAAAAATCCCTTAGCAGACAAGACCGCTCTTATATATGTATTTCAATGGTGTATTTAGCAATATGACTTTAACATCCTCTTCCTTTCAGCTATCGTGTGACCTGGTTGAATATAATCAAACCCTCTCCTGATATTTATTTGATTTGCATTGTGGTAGATGTGCTGGATGACTGGCAGTTCCAATCAGGGTTAGATGATTCTAAGAGCTATTTGTTCTTTGAAAGAATTAGACATTTTCAAAGGGACTTCTCCCTTCTGTCAGTAAGAGCATTGAATAACTGTAAATAAACTAAAAATAAGCTCAGGAAACAAGTGATGGAAAAACAACACTCCCTTTCCTGCCCAGATGAAGGTCATCTGAAAACACACAGGTCGTACATGTTGTCACACTATAATGGAGAAGGCATGGTGAAATATGGACTTATGGAGGTGAGAGTTCAATATATCAGTGATAGCCAAAGCTAAATGTTTAGCCACAAGTGTAAACAAGGGCCTCTGATATTTTATATCAATACCCATTATTTCCTATTCATAAAGTGACAATCCCTATATTACAAAATGTCTCAAAATGTAGTTTGTGCATTTCATGAAATTAACATTTTCGAGACTTCCGGTTCCGGCGCCCATGTGAGCGGCTGCGAGGAGATCGCGATCCTGCACCCGCGGCCACCAAACATATTTAAAACCGGCTAAAACGCCCGACCGACTCACCCTACCTATCGGGCAGCTGAGCGGGGGAGTATGGACAGGTTCCTGGCTGGGGGAAAGTCCCGATCGCAGTCGGTTCCCCGAACGGCCGGTGACACAGGCACAGCAAGGGGGTCTAAGATGGCGGCGGCGGGCCTCTACACCCCCCCTCACTCAGGAGTTCTCCCTGGACGAAGCGGCATATGAGCGCATCGCCCTGGCAGTGGCCAATCTGCTGAAACCCACCATTACATCAGTGGTGGAAGCTGCCATCCAGCAGGGCCTCTCTCACATTCAGGCTGAGGTTTCGCAACAGGCCCGATCCCTTAAAGAGGCAGAACAGCGAATTTCGATTCTGGAGGAGGAGGTCCTGGAAGCCAACGCTAAGGTGACAGCCTTTGATGATCTATCCCATGGCCTTCTGGAGAAAATAGATGATCTGGAGAACCGGTCCAGAAGAAACAATCTGCGGATCATCGGGGTGCCCGAAACATACAAACCGCAAGTATTAACCGAGTTGTGCTCAACAGCCATCCCAGAGGCTCTGGGCCTCGACACTAAGTGTGTAGTGGAGCGGGCGCACAGGCTTGGGCAGCCTCACCCAGACAGAACGAATCCTAGACCGGTTATTGTGCGCTATTTAAATTACGCGGACAAGTTCCTCATCATGCAACAATACCGAGCCTCTCGCACCCTAGAGGTTGACGGTCACAAGCTTTTGGTCTTCGCAGACTACTCAGCCGAAGTCGCCAGGAAGCGAAAGGCCTTTAACAAGATATGTTCTGTGCTTTATCACAAAAGAATAAGATTTACACTGGCGTACCCGGCCACACTTCACGTGGAAACTCCGACGGGAAGGAAATGCTCTTATCTGGATCCAGCGGAGGCAGAATCATTTCTCAATACCTTGAGTATGGACACTGGGTCTCCCCCCAAATCGGCTGAACCCACCAGATCCCCACGAAAAAATGCACGGTCCTCAAAACGTAACAAAGGCACACCACGGAAATATAGGTATCGCTGACGACTGCAGGATGTCGCCAAGGCCTAAAGCTGCCACCTTGGTTAAACTTAGGGCGGGCAGTTGTAGCTATTATTGGACTTGCTTCACGGGTGGCTGAGGATGGTAGCTGTGCGAAGTTCCTCTTGCCCACATAGGAAAAAAGTGGAGTCATTACTGAGATGTGTTCTGTTTCAAAAGTTTAACAAGGTTATGTTGAATTTCATTGTTATTGTTAGTTTTTCTGTTCATTTTTCCCTTACTGCTGGTTGGCCACTAGGTACTCGGAATGGATGCATCTTGGGTGTGGTGATGTCCAGACGTGCCCTACTCTTACGGTGCTGCAGACATTCGACCTATGGGCGGACAGACTTACTTTGATCTCACACTCCACAAGTATGGAAACAAAGCGGGCAAACTAATGGTCAGATTGGTGAATGGGAGGCACTCACTGCAGCACATTTCACAGTGGCACGTCGGGACATCACCTACCTGGGCATCAAAGTAGGTAAACTACCTTCCTCTTTATATACCCTGAATTTCCCTCCTCTTATAGATAGACTAGTGCGGGAACTGGCAAGGTTTGCCCCTATCGCTTTTGAAAAAGCTCTGGCTCCCGAGAAGCGAGGGGGGATCAAATTTTCCTAATATCAGACTGTATAATTTGGCATGCATACTACGCCATGCGGTGGACTGGCTAACGAACGCATCGAGATATTCTAATACCGATCTGGAAGCGGCCCTGGTGCAGCCGTGGGACCTAAAGGGCATAGTTCATTGTAAACTATCAAAGTTGCCGGTATCACTGCGCCATCACTTGGTCATTAGAGATACGGTACTCGCATGTAGGGCGGTAAGACGCTTTTTACCCGACATGGGTTGTCCGCAATAACAGAATAAAAAAATTTTGTTTAAAAAAAAAATAAAATAAAATTTTCTATAATGTTTGCAGAGTTTCCTTTTCCTACAGAAAATGGCAGAGAGACTGACCTACGGGTTCATTCGGGGAGATTCACTGTTAGCTGGGCATTTCTCATTAAGTCAGAACTGGATACCCTTCAAATTTGCCTCCCATTTGTCCTGAATTCCTAGTTAACGGATTGGTTATCGGTTTTGAAACAAAATGGTTGCTGGTACCAGTAATTACTAGTGGCAGACAATTCTTGAAGTGTACAACTCTGGCTTTCAAAAAAAAGTTTAGATAAGATTGAGAAAAAAAAAGAGTGATTTGAAATATGTTGTTTATCAGCCATTTTGATCCAAATTATGACATTGTCAGACATAGCTAAAAAATTCAGAACTATCCCTTTTCATAAAAGCAGCCTTAGCTATTGTGGTCCTACAGTGTCTGTTATAAGACACTCTTATACCCTTCCTACTTCCTCCCAGTTACAAATTCCACTCCTCCCCTTAATTACATCAATTCATAGGCATTGCATTATCTTGAGGAGAAAAAAAAATGGCCATCATCTGTAATTATCCAACATAAAAGACTGCAATTTCCCCTCATCTGCTATTTATGGTCGTCTGGTGATGTTTGCAGACACACAGAGACATAAGGATCATGGGTCTGTCTTTCTGATATCATTTGGTCTGTGTGAGTTATTTAATGTCTACATAGATCTTGTGGGTTTTTTTGTTTTTGTACTTCAAACTGTGCATATTGTGGCCATGGTGTCACTAGACAACTGGAGTACTACTGGAATAGGCAGAAACCAATCTGTGTACCTTATTCAGGAACTGAAAGAAGAAAGGGAGAAACAAAGAAAGTAAGGAAGGAGGGAGGAATACGAAGGAAGGGATGTAGGGAAGATGAGAGGAAGAAAAGACTGGAAAGAAGGAAAGGAAAGTAAAAGGGAGGGACGGGAAAACTGAAGGTAGAGATGAATGGGGGGAAAAATTGAGGGAAGAATTAAATGAAGGGACGGAAGGAAATAAACAGAAGAATGGAACGGAGGAAGTAAGGAAAGAATATAGACAGTGAAAGGGATAAAAGAAAGTAAGGAAGGGAGGAAAGGAAAGGAAAGGTGGAGGGTACAAATTCAAGCAGCACAAGCTCCTACCTGTTTCTCGCTGATGGACTCTGCAGATTTTGTGATCCCATCAAGACATTTGCCGATGATTGGGATGACTTGGCGGTCTATTTCAGCGTACATTTTCAGTGATTCCCCCAACCGTGCTATCCTCCTTTCGTCCATGTCTTGCAGTTTCTAAAGAATGTTACAGACTGTGAGAATAGTCTACTACTTGCCCACTCAGACCAGAGTCATGTCATTTCACAAACACACAATGAAAGAAAATCAGAAGTTAAAACTACAGAGGCCTAGAGTACTTCTCTTCATGCAAAGGTAAACAGGATTGTGGTACATGTGTACTTGTCCTTGTATTCAGATCAGTTCCTTTGAGTCCTAGTCAAGGTCCTGGCATTTGACAGCTGGATAACAGGGGTAGAACTTAGGGCTACGGCAGGGATTACTTTCAACTAACACTCGATATATGGTCTTGGCTAAAAATCCAGCATCTACCTCAGTCCCAAAGAAACTGACCTGAAGACAAGTGCAGGTACATGCACAAAACCAGTAATGATAATTTATAAACTCTGGTGGACATGACAGCTTAAAAGAGAACTATGAGGTAAACTTTTTATCCTATAGTTCTCTCTAGGGTCCCGGGAGGACATATACCAACGTCCTCCCGTGACCCAAAGCTCAGTATATAGCAAGCTACAGTAAATATACTATATACTGAGAGCGCCGCAGCCGGGACGAATCCCGACAATGCTGTCGAGATCCACCCAGCTAGCTGATTGACAGTGGGCTTTGCCTATCTAGAGGCAGAGCCAGCTGTGCACCCCCCTTCTCCCGTTCATTCCTCCAGTCAAATGCTGTAGGATCGGAGAGGAGAGGGGGGAATCCCTGCGGGGAGCGGTGACTGTCAGGAGCTGATCGTAAAGTAAGCGAGCGACGGTATGTGTTCGCTCACTTCCCAATCAATAGAGCCGACGTGTGACAGTTTCATTGTCACACGTCGGCTCTAACTATGAGGATGAATGAAAATCACTCACCTCATAGTTCTCCTTCAACTTTAAAAGAACAACAACCCAATTATAATGTTTCAGGCCATACACTTTCTGCCTTTCCCACAATATGCATATGCAACATTAAAGCAAACCTATCCTAAAAAGAAATACCAGACTAGCACTAGGACTTAACTGTGCATAACAACAGGCATTCCGATATTAGCCTTTGCCTGGTGCACTGTTTTCGGTACCGCCATCTTGATTATGACATTGTTTACTGGAGGAGTGTGCAATCCACCAATTACAGCCTGTATCACTGTATGATCCCTTACCCTTTCCTGTCCTTGCAGGAGCAGAGTGAAAAGTTCCTGGACAGATGACACCTGGGAACACACTGCTGTCATGCACCGTCTGCCCAGTGTCAGCGTCACACATTAGGATAAAAAGGCCCCAAATCACCACATGGTTCACATCACACAGAGAAATAAAAATAAGACAGATTTCTGACTGAAAATGAGAATTTGTAGGCGCAAAAGGAGACAAATAGACATATTAATCATGGATGGAAAAAAAAAGAGACAAAAACAATGACACTGGTGAAAACAATTATATAGTTATAGAAGATCTGACATTGTAACAAGTCTGCAATAAAGAGATGGAACATATACCACACCTGGTAGATGGCCGGCATTTGTGTGTGATAGTGCTCATTCTGCTCACGGTTAAACTTCTGTAACACTGATGAATAATCCCCCTTACTGTCGTCTGCCATCTGATGACGGATCTGGGCTTGCTGTCGGGCCTGCAATAAAAAAATAAATACATGAAGCAGATGAGACAGATTCAGTGGTCATCCTAGTAGCATAATATAACATATTCCATGATCAGGCCTTGTTGTACTGTAGTTAAATGGAAGGGACCAAACATGGACTTTTTCCCTTATTAAAAGGACAAAGAAACTTTTAGATAAGATTGAAAAAGAACAAAATCAGAATCAAGAGCCAAGATGAAAACAGAGTTGAAGAAGCATTTTTCTTCATCATGGTGGCATTGGCTTCTATTTATTATTTGCCTGAGGTAGGCAAGTAGGATACCAACTTAAACTGCCCTTTAAAGTGACCCAGTCCCTATACTGTACTAAATTTACTCAGCTAAGCCTGTCCTGTAAAACTATAAAACCTTTACCTCGGCCCTTCCCGCCCTCCTATGAAGTCCACAGGGAAAGTGACACTTTCAGGAGTGTTGGTCTCCTGGGTACCCACAGCTATCACAGGTTCCTCCTGCTGACCTCTGTGTCACTTCTTTAATGTGTGAAGGTCAAAAGGAGACCAGCGGGAGACCTAGGAGGTCGACATGTCAGAAATGTCACAACTTTGAAAGATCAATTCACTTGAAAGGAGAGTGAGGTAGGGGGGTGAGGTAGGGGCAGGATAGGTGAGACGAGTACATACTGTCTTTTTTTAGAGGAAAAGCAATGCTGAGTATATTTAATATAGCAACAGGGTTGCTTTAAAAAGGTAAGTATGGCACATAGTCAGTGGGTACATATTTTGAGTTATTACTGCAGTATCTACCCAAAATAATTTTTGATATGATTTCCACAATATTTGTAATATTTCAGTAAATTTGTAGATTAACCACTGGAGGGAGCTCTGTATTTCACCTCCCTCTGTTAACATTAAAATGAGATATCAGCCACTCAGGGTGAGCATTGTTTTCAAAGAGTCAGCCGACTCAGCTCTGCATTAGAAGTAGCGGTCAATTACTATCACTGTGCAGCACTGCAAAGCACAAAGCAGGGCCTTGGTATGCAATGAGCAGATTAACCACTGGAGGGAGCTCTGTATTTGACCTCCCTCTGTTAATATTGAAATGAGATATCAGCCACACAGGGTGAGCATTGTTTTCAAAGAGTCGGCCGACTCAGATCTGCATTAGCAGTAGCGGTAAATCACTATCACTGTGCAGCACTGCAAAGCACAAAGCAGGGCCTTGGTATGCAATGAGCAAATATGGCTGCTCCCGTTTACATATAAGTACACACCATACAATGAAAAATGGAAAATGAACACATGTTGACGAAATTAATTAGATCAAGCTAATCCGTTTTTTTTTGTATGTCTATACCTGACACTAAAGTTACCCTGCACAGCACTGTTTGTATTCACTCTATCCAACACATAACATACCTCAATGTAGTTTCAGGAGATGCAGTAGATGTTTAAAAAAGAATCTGCATGTGAGCACTGCTGGTCCTCAGCTTGTTTTAACTGAGCAGGTCTGAACCAGTAAAAAAAAAGTTCCCATGATGCAACAAACATCTCCCGTATTCTGCACACTGTAAGGTATAGGGGGTGAGCACAGACATAATATTATCGAGGGTAGCAGGTACTGGATTCTATATCCGTTTCTCTAGCATGACAAGAAGAGGAGGTATATGTGTGTTAAATGATTACATTTGGTGATTTTAGCATCTTCTCATATACCCTGCCCTTCTCAAAGATTACAGTCCATCTTTAAGTACAACCATCAGCTTTATACAAACAGTAGTCAGCAATAGCAAATTAGCTCTCCAACCATTTTTCAATCATTTGCTCCATTAAAGTGAATTAACCAAAAACTGATTTTTCATTTGTTGGGTGAATGCAGGCAGGTTTTTGAAGGAGAACCCAGGCCCAGATGCTCTTTCTGTTGTGGTTGTGACCAATCTTTCTTGACTTTCTGCTAAATGGCTGTGTCATCATCTACCTTCTTGCAGAGATACGTGCTGACCACATTTGTAAGAAGGAGAAGGATAATCAGGGAACTGAATTACTTGGTATCCACATTTTCGGTTGGGGGAGGTATAAAGGTTGCCATTGCAGGTCTCTCCTTCTGAAATTACTTGTACCCTGTCAAGCTGATCACCTGGGTTAAAAAAGTCATTGATTCAAAACTATTATGCAGATTACGAGTTCTGATATCATTGATTTTTCTGATTGACATGCTTGATCCAGGTCAACCTCTCAAAGCAGTGAAAGCAGAGACAGCCAAGCAACTAGAATGTTCTTCTTTCTGTATTTCTCTCAATACAGGATCAATGTAAAAAGATCAACAAAGTAAATAAGTGTTCCTTTCAGCAAGTGTTTTCCACCTTTACTACCCCGTGGTGTGGGTCACCTCATCTCTGGTCCTCCTACACAGCAACTTATCTACCAAGAAAAGTCCGGTCATCAATCTGAGCCACGTAGGCAGGTAAACAGGGCTGTTAATTGGATGGAGTTTGCTCCCTCACTTACACTGTGATCTTCACAGGCCCCATGCTGGGCCAGATCCATGACCTGAATACACAGACAATCGTTTCCAAACAACTAATCTCTGAAGCTGCAGTAGCGGATGGAACACTTTATTCATGGGAGATGGAAACCAGAAAGCAGTGCCAGAAAGTCTAAGGACTCTGCTAAACAGAGGTGGCCAAAACAATGCCTCATTGCTAAGATTAAAGAGAACCCTATTACTTTGCTGAGGACATACGGATGCCAAGAAGGAGATGACGGAAGGTAGCCATGGGGCTAAATAACTTCAGCTGAAAACAGTGGGGCTAAAGCTCTTAGCAACCAGTCAGGTTTATTTATTTTTTTAATATCAAAGGAAAGGGAAGAATCTGGTTGCTACTGGCAATAACTTAAATGTTGCTCTACTTTTTACATACCAGACAATTTGTTGTTTTTTCATGGTTATGGTTTTTACAGATTTTTGATGCATGACATTAATCCTGTTATATATTTTGTGCAGTGCATGATATCATGGCAAGGCTAGGAATTTGAAGTTTTTGAAGGCAACACTGGTGTGAAGAAGTTACGGTCAAGGATGAGGCAGCTAGAAAAAGTGATGCTGTTTACATATTTTCTAGAGTTTACATGTCCCCTTCTCTATCATGTCTGCCATCCCCTTTGTCTTCCAATAAAGTCACCAGGAGAACCAAACCTTCTATTGCCCCTATGGGACCATGCATACCAAAACAGGCATGGTAGAAATAGGATGATGGGTAAACAGCAATCCTCTACTGGTTCCACTCTATGTGGTAGCAAAGAGAGATCACAATTTCCACTGCTCAGTCTAATCAAGCTGTGCAAAATGGAGATAACACATTTTGCTGAAAACAAAAACACATTTTATGGCCAAGCTGCAATGCTAGATTTCCAGCATAGGGTGGGGAACGATCCAGTGAAAACAAATCCAGGGAATGTTTATTATTTTTACATTTTATTTCAAGTATTTATGTAGCGCCAACAATTTACGCAGCACTTTACATAGTTGCACATTCACATCAGTCCCTGCCCTCAAGGAGCTTACAATCTAAGGTCCCTATCTCACATGCATACATAGAGGGCCAATTCAGCTGGAACCTGAATTCAAGTTCCAGTCGAGAGGAAGCTGATTTAGAGAGGAGCCAATGTCTTTGGCGTGTGGGAGGAAACCCATGCAAGCCCAAGGAGAACATGCAAACTCCATGCAGATAGTGACCTGGCCGGGATTCGAACCAGGGACCCCCAGTACTGCAAGGCAGAGGCGCTAACCACTACGCCACTGTGCTGCCCAACTCTGCTTGGTACAATATAGAGTGGTCACAGAGGACTTTAATCATTCTAGAAAACAGAACATTGAGGGGCAGAAAGTGGATCTGTGCTTTGCCCACGCAGAGCCGAGTCCCATTCACTCTAGTTGGGCTGATGACTCACCTAGCCCTCATGTGACAGTGCAGAGCCAATCACCATCACATGCTCCTCTACACCCAAAAGTACCTGGAGTGGGGAGAGTTCAAGTGTATAATAACTGCAACTTTTTTTTAGTTTGGAGTGGGGAAAAATTTTAACTCCAGTGGGAGTTTCACAGCTGTTCGGGGCTAAATTAGAGAGATGTACCCTTACTTCCTGTCCAGGGGACAATCCTTTAAATTTCCAACAGCAAACACAGACAGAAGTAAAATGCTTTTGTTAAGTTATAAAGGGGAAGGCAAGAAACCCTGCCACTGTTTTATTGTCCCTTATTCTGTTTTTCCGTCACTTCCTGTCTGGCAAAATGTTGTCCTCAAAACAGGAAGTGCGGGACATCACCTTACCTTTTATTTTAAATAGATACATTTTAAATTAAAGGTAAATATGTGAAGCTGAGGAGCTAAAGCAAATCTGATGTCTTGTCCAAGTTTGCTTTAAAGCAAAATATGACAAAACTGGAAAAAATAGCACTTTTGTACTTACAATAAAATCCCTTTCTTGCAGCCCATTGAGGGACACAAAGTTATTCTCTTCCATGTTATACTGCCGCCTACAGGACGATTGGACATTTCCAAACAAAAAAACTGTAGGCCAGCCCAGGATAACCCCTTCCACTAGCAGCATGTCTCTGTTTTTGTAGCAACCAGCACTGAGAGCATGGTCATAGGGGTGGGACCCGTGTCCTTCAATGGATTCCAAAAAGGTTTTCGCTATTAGTACAAAAATCCCATTTTCTTTCTCATCCATTGAGGGATAAAGAAAGTAATTCACTTTTGAGACATCCAGAAGTAGTACAATTGAGGGATGGGCAACACAGCATATAAGCCCAAGGAAAAAAGTGCTAGCAAGAAATAGGTCAGTCTTCTACATGGCAGAGCTGAAGAAAAAACATCTATCCTCCTAGGACACTAGCAAAAAACTGTGGCATGCTGGTAGCAGGAGGGGTTATAATGGGCTGCCTGCAGTTTTTTTTTGCAAGTGTCCAATACTCCTGTAGGTGGTAGTATAATCCAAATGTGAATGACATCTTGTGTCCCTCAATGGA